AATGTATGATTTCAGTGTAATAATTGAATGGTTGGTCACCATGTTTAATTTATGTCAATGAGGATAGGTCTTGATAATTTCGATTCCAAATATCTCGAGAACCATTACTTGTAGCGATTTTTTGGGGAAATTTTACTGATATAGGTAGAATCTTTCTGCTACAAAAAAGATGTATTCAAATTCAAAATATATTTAGGATGAGCCGTTTAAAAAGCTGTAAGAGTGTTTTTGAAGAGAACGGTATATTGACGCTGACAGGCATATATGTTTACGATGCCTATATGTTCGTGATCAGTAATAGAGATCTCTTTGCAGGCTTTCTTAGTGATCACGAGTATAATACCAGAAATAAATATAATCTTATACCTGGGAAATGCAATTTTACTTATATACAAAAGAATGCTGAGTATTCGATTATAAAAAATATTTAAAAGTTTCCCCGAAGAGTTGCAGGCTATGTGTCATGGAAATATAAGAACTATACTAAAGGATTCTTTAACCAAGAAGGCATATCATAGGATTTTTTTCCCGATTCGCATATCTTACTTTTTAGCGTGCATGTTTTTAGTTTATAGTAATTGTAACGTAGTGTGGACTTTTGAGTTAGTTGCTGGCTACTCATATACTGCGGTTAGAAAGACTATTTATTTAAACTGAACAATACTTTTCGAATCATACATTTTATATTTTTTTGTTGTCAAGTATTTTTGTTTATTTGTGTTTTATATTAAGTCTTAAGTTTCGTTTGTTGCTATTTTCACAATATTCCATGCCTGCGGGCTCTTGTAACTTTTCGTTAATCGGAACAAATAAATGAATATTTATCTATCTGTCTATTTTGTGGAAACTGATCGAACCGTTTCAACAAATAACTAATCACGGCGCGTCTTGGTCTATTTCGTTCTATTTCGGAGTTTGCAACCGGGACAAGCCGCAACATAAGAAAATCATTGAGTTTACTTCTAAAAGTATTTCGAGAAATGCTTCGCGAAATGTTTTACGAAATATTTCCAGAAATATTTCATGAAACATTTCGGGGATGTAGAGGGTGTTTTAGAAGATCCCGTCAGGTTGATTGTACTTGATTATCAAAGCAAATCGCGATAAATTCGAGAGCTTTTTGTATAAAATCTTTTAGATTGCTTATCGGAATAAAACTGTTTGAAGTTAACATTAAACACGACAATAAAAAGATTAGCTCTTTTAGAATCAAGCTTGTAGTCTCTATCTTAATAGTACTGCTACAATACTGAGCACCAATGACCGCATATGAAGTTAACTAACTCTTATAACAGAGTATTTATTAATATCCAAATATAATAATATAGATAGAACGATTGCAGGAGACAGTTAACTTGAAAATTTCCTGTTACAAAATGTTAAGTACTTAAATTTTAAATTACATAAAATACCTACCACACCACTTTTTAATTCACTAATGTCTTAAGCCGCGTCCAAGCTACTCGAACAAAATGTTCGCGAACGTATATAATTAAACAGATACTAAGTGAAAATTGTGAGATAGGTAGATTTATAAATAATAAAGCCAACAAGTACAGCTAGCCTAGGCCTATTAAGGAGCGCGTAGCGCCGAACGGCTAGCTTGTACGCCAGAGCGTGCGTTTGCCTATGCTAGGGCGCGCGCGTTCTTTTTCCGACGGGTGTCAGTAAATCAAAAGGAGCGAACGGCGTGCATTTCGGCGGACATTGTACCGGACACTCGGAAGGGTCTCATTTAATTTCGGGCGTCCATCTGTGATTTTTATTTTTTACCGAGTATTCGGCAATGGGAGACGCAGTTATTGACTGGGATCGTGAAAAACATTTACAACTAATTTGTTTACACAAAGAAAATATTTTATAATTTTAATTTTATTGTGGGTTGAGTGTGAATAGCTATGTAGCTAGACTTCGTTCATATAATTTTATTTTTGTTAATAAAGACCTTTATGATTATTTTTATTAAAAACCGGAATTATTATGGGATTCTGAAATTAAAAATTACTACTTAATAGGAAGTTTGACACCGGAAATGAAATTTTACCATTACATTTTTAGAAATAAATATACCGGGTGTTTCTGAAAAGTGTTCCTTCCATTTATTTTCGGTCACTACCTATTTCACAGGAAATGACAACAACTTTTGATTTAAATGGTATTTTCCACCCTCCGTATTTTTTTACCGTATATGATAGAAAATGACATTCTAAATAGAATGATATATTATATGTCAACTTTTGACATTTTCAATTTAAAAATGGCCATAAATAAACGTAACGACAATTTTACTCCAAATACCAAGTATGTGGTACCAAATTATTCGTAAAAAATGCTTTTTCCAAATATGCTGAGCCAGCCTCGTACCATTTGAAAAATTTGAGTTATCATTAAAAATACGATTTGGGCATCTTTTAAGCGGCCATGAAAGGATACGAAAAAAATTACACGATCAAATATATGTTTCCAAAGTTCTTTGATTACAAATTAATAGTTTTAACTCAGTCTTGGCACTCTAGATTGAAATTTAAAATGCTATTTTTATTTAATTGGAATTGTCTAAAATTGACGTATGGTATGTCATTCTATTCAGAATGTCATTTTCTATCAAATAAAGTAAAAAAGTACTTAGGATACAATCTAAAAATACAAAGTTGTAGTCATTTCCGGCGAAACAGGAAGCGACCGAAGGTAATTGAATACGTCAATCAATCCCGATTTATGTCATATACTAACAAACCAAATTTCGTTGTATTATCTGGAAGAAATAAAAAAATAAAAAATTAAGCCCCTTTTGAGAAACACCTAGTAGAATCGGCTGAAAATGAATACAAGTCTTAAAAATACACTATAACGAATAATCGACCAAAAGACCCCTGTGACCCTCCGCCTGCTAAATATTGATTCTTCAACGACAAAAGTTCTTAAACTGTTTATCGGTTAATTTATTTAATAAAATGCTTGCACTCGAAATCCGGGCACTCGAAAAAACAGCGACTACCTAAATGCATCCTAGATTTATAGAGCAAACTGGTTGTCGCATTCTTCCCCGCACCTCAGTCCTCGGGACCGATGTGATGGGCTGTGTCGTCGTTTACGACCTGCTGCTACGAGTATATAGTGTGAATTTTATATGTTCGCGAACGTTTTGTTCGAGTAGCTGGGACGCGGCTTTATACATTCAGATGCAAAAAAAAACGCAACGGTACATGTTTTAGTCAAATTTAAATTGTTATATTTCTTTTATTTTTAACTCTATTTTAATGATTTTTTAGCAAACTGTGTATAAATATATCAGCTTTAAATCGTAAACTCAGTGTTTTATAAACTTTAGTACCTATTTGGCTTATTATACAGGGTTACTCAAAGGGTTGTTTTTTACCTTAACTTTAAAACACCCTGTACGATAATTTCGTACGCAAATTTCCCTAAAACTTTATTTTTTGATCAGAACCATGTCTCCTGAGCATTTTGTTTTATCGCTCTTGTCAACACATGCCTTGTTTAATTTTTAAGAGCGAAATGAACTTGCCACCAGCAATTTGCAATTTTTTCAATCATTACTTTTTGATGTTATTTTTCGATATGAAGAGGTGGTAATGCCTAGGTTACAATAATTAGAAAAAGTCTGTATCAACAAAATGAAGTGGCCAGTATGTTTTGGGTGATCTGAACCCTATAGAATACGTTTGGGATATGGAAGCATGCTTGGCAGGAACTTCGCTAAGTGTTGAAGAAGAATGGGGACGCATAACACAATATGTGATATTTGCTGAATCATTAACAGTATGAATTGACGTTTAGAAACAGTTATAGCGGCCAGGAGTGACAATATAAGGTACTAGGTTATTTTTTAGAAGTTTTTTGGGTTTGTATCCTTAGTTATTACAGTTATTTTTTTTAATATCGTTAGTTCTATTAATGTTTATGAAATCTAAAACTGTTTCAATATACAGGGTGGTCCCAACTGTATTCCGGAAACTTCGGCAGCATACTCTGCAGATAAAAATAAGTAAAAAAGTTCGTATAAATGTATGTCCTAAAATGCTTAGTTTCGGAGATACAGGGTGTAGAAATTTCATTTTTATTTCAATTTTTGCCAAATAATTTCTGAAGTAACGTCAATATTTGGATGGAAATTGATATCTGGGATTTTTTTGACATGAGAAATTAGATTTTGATGTCAATATGACCCCTACTTGGAGAGGGCGCCACCTACATATTTTTTAACTGTTTTTAAGAGTAATATATTTTTGTACGTACCTGTATAAAATTACTGAGTAAAAAAATATGTATGACGTTTATACGTAAAAAAGGTCTCTTGGTAAAAATCTCTACGACTAATGGTTCTCGAGATATTTGGAATCGAAATTATCAGTACCTGTCATCATTGACATAAATTAAACATATTGACTAAATATAGTTATTAGACTAAAACCATAAATTTGAAATGATTTTATGTTAAAAGTTCAACAGAAACTGTTATATCATCATTTTTTTGAAGAAAAATTTATGATTAATTTTAAGGAATTAAGTTTCCAAATTTATCATTTCAGTCGAATCAACATGTTTTTTTTTCGTCAATTTTTTTTTCGTCAATGACATGTATTCACTAATTCCATTCTAAATATCTTAAGAACGGTTGCTCGTAACGAGTTTTGCCAAGAGACATTTTTTACGTAAAAAATTACGGAAATGTATATTTTTTCATTCAGTAATTTTATACAGGTACGGACTAAAAGTTATTGATCTTCAAAAGAGTTCAAACACATGTAGGTGGCGCCCCCTGCAAGTAGGAGTCATATTGATCAACATACTCATGTCAAAAATGCATGGTGATATGGCTCTAACCGAAAAATAATAGTTTAGCAAAATTTGCTAACGAAATAATTGCACAGGGTGTTTTAAAATTGGGATAAAAAACAACCCTTCGATTAACCCTGTAAAATAAGCCAAATACTAAAGTTTATAAAAAAACTAAGTTTAAGAATTGAAGTTGATATATTTATATACAGTTTGCTAAAAAAATCATGAAAATAGGACTAAAAATAAAAATATATGTATAACACTTATAGGATAACAATTTAAATTTGACAAAAAAATTCAGTTGTACTTTTTTGCATCTGAGAGCATATTCCCTCGTCAGACAGCATGTTATATTCTTATTTAATGTATTTAGAAATTCAAAGTCAAATGCCTCCTAAAATTGATGCCTCTCTATATGTCTTAATCCTAAACCTACTCGCAATTAGATTAGAAATCACCGCTTGTACATACAGTCGCGTCTAAGAAAAGAGCTGATTGATATAGTTAGTTTACATTGATATGTATAACAACATTATTAATATTATTATGCTACAATAAGTTACAGTTAAAGACTAAATTCCATAAAAATTAAATCATCTGTGACCCTGTCAATCTCGAAAATTGTTCCTAGACTATACGTCGCAATGTTTTTTTATGAAAGAATAGTCCATGCCGGCACGTATCAGACCAGTGTTTCATTTTTCTTCTTATTTTTATCGTTTTAAAGCGTATTTTGAGCAAATGCAAACGGTTTTTCGTCATTTTCTTCCATTTTTCTGCCAATTATCTGAAATAATAAACAAATAATTGTGTTAAATTGACATGTTTCCAGAGAGAGAAGAATTAAATTAGCATGGAGTACTTATGGAAGAAATTCAATCATATTCAAATCTAGAATACCACTTCTAGAATGCCACTTCTTTAGAGAAAAAATCATTCGACCAATGTGTACTGACAGTCATGACCTATGCATGCGAAACCTGGACACTTAAAACGGACATTATAAGAAAACCGCAGGTCGCACAACACTCAATGGAACGAAATATGCTGGGAATAACCAAGAGAGACCGCAAAAAAATAAAGTGGATACGACAAAAGACCCAGGTAATAGATATCATCCACAGAGTCAAATCCCTCAAGTGGCAATAGACCACAAAAACTGCAGCATGGTACCCAGGAGGAATTAAGAGACCTAGAAGAAGACCGAACCTGAGATGGGACATGATATTAGGAAATTATCAGGGATATCTTAGGCCCGCAAGCCAACAACAGACAACAATGGGCCCAAGAATACAAAATACATAATAAAAACTCAATATTATATTAACGACGCATCATTTTTGTGATTTTTATGTCAAGAAAACATCTTCAAAAGAATGTTAATTTACATTAATACTTAGGTCCATTTACATGTGAACAGACAACACAACAACCAAAATAAAGCAAGAAAAATAGAACAAGTTGAAGAATTTATATTTGGAACACACTATTAAATTGAAAAAAGAAAACCAAAGAGCTCAGATAAAGAGACGAATAAGATATCCCTAGGCAGCACTCGGAAGTTAAAGAAAAATTTCTCAACTGTAATCTAAGTAAATCTATTTTTTTTCAAACGTCACAAAAGTATTAATTTTTGCGACGTGATTGACAATATATAAAAACGTCATTTTATCCTATAGGCATAAATGTAAAGCACTTTTACATCTAAGCACAAAAGTACGAAATTACATTATTAAACTGACATAAATGGTCAAATTTAACGAGCGTAACCATAGTTTCTCGATATATAACTACATATAGGTCGCGTTCATCAGGACGTAGCGCTATCGAAGCGATCACTAATTTTCTGCTGAACGCGCCGATTAGTTGTGAGCGCTCTGGGATCAGTCGCCATTTTTTCCATCAGATTTAAAATGCGCTACGCTACCGATGCATGATGGATTAAACGTCACAGACGTCAAATGTCACAAAATGTTTTGGAAAACGAAAACAAAGTTTTTGTTTATTGTTCTCGGTTGACTAATCCCCTCGATTTGTGCCAAAAATGGGTGAAAACAATTTAATATGCATTACTTATGATTTTGATCTAAAAAGCACGTTCAGCAGGACAACCAATCGATGGTACATCGCTCACTGATCAACTTGTCCTGATGAACGCGACCATAACTACATACAAGATATTACTTTTAAATCATTTGTATTTGGAACGTTTAAAATTGTTTAAAAAATTATTTGCGACGTTTGAAAAAAATAGCATTCAGAGTAAAAATTACTTTTTGTGTCTCGCCTGTAATGTCGTACAGCCTCGCCGCAGATAGTGTGATTTTTACTCCTAATAAAACAATATACTATTTTTTTCAAACCTCACATTGACAATATAAAAACGTCATTTTAACGCCTCGGCATAAAAGTAGAGCATTTTTACGCCTAAGCACAATAGTACAATAGTATATTGTTTTATTAGGAGTAAAAATAATATTTTTAATTGCGAGACGGGAAGCTGTACGTTTGACGACATACTGGCGAGGCACAAAAAATCATTTTTACTCATAACATACTATTTTTTTTCAAAAGAATTAAAAGTAATATCAAAGAATATATTTAGCTGGAAAAAGAATGGACTCTGCCATACTGAAAAATGGTCCTACAGAAGTGGCGCCATCTGTTGGAGTAATATACCTTGTAAGTAATTATATATCGAGAAACTATGGTTACGCTCGTTGAATTTGACACTTTATGTCAGTTTTATAATATATTTTTGTACTTTTGTGCTTAGGCGTAAAAGTGCTTTTCATTTTTATGCCTAAGCGTTAAAATTACTTTTTTATATTGTCAATCACGTTGCAAAAATCAATAATTTTGTGACGTTTGAAAAAGAAAAATATTATTAAATTGACATTAAGTGTCAAATTCAACGAGCGTAACCATAGTTTCTCGATGTATAATTACTTATAAGGTATTACTTTTAAATCTTTTTATATTATTTGCAATCGCATGAAATTTGTAAAAAATTATTTGTAACGTTTGAAAAAAAATAGCTAAATATTCTATTCGGAGTAAAATTACTTTTATGGCTGTCTGTAATGTCAAGCGTACAGCCTCGCCACGAAAAATATAATTTTTACTCCTAATAAAACAATATACTGTTATTTTTTTCAAACGTCACAAAAGTATTAATTTTTGTGATGTGATTGACAATGTAAAAGGGGTTCTACGTCTAGGCACAAAAATATGATACTAAACTGACATTATAAAATTGTCAAACTTAACGAGTGCACCTATTTGTTGCTCGATACGAAGTACTACTTTTTATTCATTTGAAAAAATGATTTGCGACTTTTTTATAAAAAAAAGCATGCTCTATTCGGAATAAAAATTAACATTTTGTTGATCGCCTGCAACGTCAAACGTACAGCCTCGCCGCAATAGGTATCAATTTTACTCATAATAAAACAATATACTATTATTGCCATTTTTAGAGCAATAGTTTAAATTTTCCTCTCCTTTTTAGTTGAATCACAGATTCTGTGTGTGGTCGAATTCAAATCAAAAAGTAAGGTCAGAAAATATTTGTGATCTGTGATACCGTTGATTGAAGAAATGAGAAGATGCGCAACCTTATGGGCGATTTCGTGGAACAAAACCTGTCCGAGATGTAGCTGGCGTTATCGTCAGCCTGTCCGAGATTTAATTTAGCCGTGTGCCGCTGCGCGCTGATAGCCTAGGATAAAAAATATTGTACCGTAGTTCTGCTTTCAATCGACAGAGTAGGTGGTTGCCGGAGACAGTGTTGCCAGAACTACTGATAGTATACGTAGAATACGGATTTTGGGTACAGTACGTTAATAATACGGATTTTCTATAATTAAACAATTTAATACAATATTATATGATTAAACAAAGAACTGCGTCAGAGTTGCCTTGGAAATGAAGATCGCTGTTATTTAATATGTAAAATATTATGGTAAATAAATCGTCATTTTCAAGCCAACTAAACGACTTTTTTCGATCATAGAACATATTCAGTACCTATAAAAGAATTTTTATTTGTATTGTTTATTCTATGTTTAACACGAATAAATTTTCAATACATAAACGCGGATTTTTCATCCAAAGATATTTTCGTTAAACGTATTACAGATATTACACATTTTAATATGGCCAACACTGTCACTTTCAGATCCACACTGTCTTCGATATGCCTTCGTTGGCCGAATTAGAGGAGAATAAGTGTTTTATGAGTTGACCGCAGAAAGCTTGGTGTCTCCACCGTACAGCACTTAAGACGTAAGGGGAAATCAAATCAGCCTTGTCACAAATTCGTCCATTAGGTTGCGTATCTTCCCAATTCTTTCAATCAACGGTGACACTGCACAAAAACCAAAATTACCTGAAGATCTCTGTATAAATGTAGATAATTATAAATCGTTTCATTTCTTTGTCTCACTGTAGATCGTCTTCGGATTTCGGTATATCGAATATTTCTGCGAAAAGTGGCGGCAACGCCAATTTCCGCCAATTCGCCCTGAACCAGTCCAAATGGGCGTTGTGTTTCGTTCCCAAATTACGAAGTTCGGGCAGCTTTAGCAACAGATTCGAGAGCACTTGCGGTTCGGTCGCGTGAGTTCGGTTCACCTAAAAGAAAAAATAACCTTTATTAACCCTTTAATCTGGATATGTTTTTATACCGAGTGAGTCTTAAATAAGTGCAAATATTTTCAGGGGTGGGATATTTCGACCCCAAAATGAGGTTTTTTTCGCAAAAAAAGATGTTGAAAATCGTGCATTTTCTTTTAAATTTCCCTGCATATTTTTCAAAAACTTTTTAGAACTGCCTGTTCACCACAAATTTTCCCACGGTATAATTTCTTAATCTCTAATATTACCCACGGTGGCTCTCAAAATTTTTATAAAAAAAATCATTTTTTTTAAATTTTCAAACTTAAATAACTCGGTTATTTTGGACTTATCTGAAAAATGGTAAAGAGAAAATATGTTTCTTTTATCGAGATCTACCAACCCTGAAAATATTTGCACTAATTTAAGACTCACCCTGTATAACAGCACGTCAGTGAAACGTGATAACCTGCTAACTTCATTTTTTATGTTAATAAGTTTTTTATACCATTAGAAAGAGAAAAAAATACTCTATAAATAGGGAAAGCAAATACATTTTTTCCCATTAAAAAAAATTTGTTATTTTAACTCAATAAAATCTGCTAACTCCCAATGATCGGAAATAGCCACCGAAATGCTGCTATCTCCGTAATTTCCGTTACGATCACGCTAAAGCAAACACACGGATTCTTATTTGTATGTTTCTTTTGTACAGTACGTTGATCCATCAGGGTCGCACTAGACCAAAGGGACTCGGGTGGCAATGTAAGGAGGGGCCCGTGTGGATTTTTTGCGCATTTTTTCGCATTACGTTTTAGTCAATTTTTCCCTATTATATACAGGGTGTCTTAAATAAGTGCAAATATTTTTAGAGGTAGTATATTTCGACCCAAGAAACACGATTATGAGGTTTTGCGCGATTCTTTTTTTGAAAATTTGTTTTTTTTTAATTTTTAGTTTAAAAACATATTTTGTTTGTAATATGGCAACATAGGTATAAGTACAATTCTTTTAAAAGTTCCTCAATATGGCCGACCTAGTTACGAAAATTGGTAATTTTTTTTTAATGAAAAATAAGTTGGCGTTAGCGAATTCAGAAATTGATTTACTCTTTGGTTAACAATAACATTTTTCAGGATTGTCAAGTTGACGTTAAAGTTAGATTACTAGGTGGTTGTCATAAATCATAAATAAAAACATAGATTATTGAAATTATTTAATAAGAATAAAGGCATTTTACCGCAGATCCGAAGAGATTTTACTTAAAGGTATTTTATAAACTTTCTCAGTGAGAATATTAACTCCCGTTTCTTATATTTTAGTTAAAGGGGCGTAAGAACTGTAGAAAGTGAATTTTTGTTTTCATGTTTTGACGATATCTGAGAGTTCCTAGAATTATCAAGATTATTGAATAATTATAGTTGTTTAATAAGTGAAATTAATAGAAGACTTGGAAATAGGATGATGCGTTTCATATTATAGTTGATAGATCACCCCATTTCTCTTAATTTGTTTTATTTCAGTACAGTTAATCACAAATTGAATTGATGTGTGCAAAAACAGCTACCTATATATTTTCAAACATCTTATTTAAATAGTTCTTTTATATACTGTTAAACTGTATCAACTACAAAGTCTTTAGCAAACAGTTATAAGGTAATAAATTTTGTAGATATACCTAATTTATGAAAATTTATATATAAAGATTAGAACACAATGCTCTGAGGGAAAAAGAAATACTCAAAAACTCATTAAATATACTTTATTAAAAATAACAACATACAAAAACAGTCATCCATGCAAACTGTAATAATCAGAACATTATCCACATTATACCTTTATTAAATTTGTGTCACACTCCTGTCAGGAAAGCCAGAAATGTTTGTTTAGCACAACCACAACTATAAGGTTTGGAATCAGTACTAAATTTTATACCTAGTAAATGATGCGTCAAGTAACAAATATAGGATAAAAAAGAATTATTAATATAGAGTGTACTATACGATGTCCTTCTGCTTATTTATGAAATGACTTTCCTTTCAAATGTGAGGAATACCAGTAAAATAAAACATAATTTTTGGTTTGGTTTGGTGTTTGATATTCTAACTACATCTATTACAAACCTTAAGTACTTACACCTTAAGTACTTTTAGTGAGTAACTGTAGTTTTTATTATTCTTTGTGTATCCTGTAAAGTAAAAAATATATATATTTCAAGAAATATAAAAACAATGCAATATACATATTATCTATTTCAAGTGTTATTTGATCTTTGGTCCCATTACCAACATTATTTACCTTTATTACGTTATTAGTAGATCTTCTCTACTAACTCAACTTTTAAACCTGTTTATATTTTAAAACTGATTTACAACAATCTGTAATGCCCGCGCTGTTTCCTGAAATATAAGTTTTAATCTATTTATTATCATATACATATTACAAACCTGAAAATTACTGATACGAGGAAACTTCTCCAAATAATTAGAGACCTTTTTACAAACATCTGGACTAATTTATTTTCACGAATTTGTGGACGAGTCAATGCTTTCTAATACGTTTTTAAGCGTTTTACACATTTTGAATATCTTCCAGCCTATTCCTCATTTCTCGATCGGTGAAAAGATTATTTATAACTATATAATTAGTACTGCAGGCTGCAGGTTAAATAAAAGAACAAAACCAAGTAGAATTTGTAAATAAAAACTCCAAAAATAATGTAAATATTTAGAAAAAGGAACCGTAAACGTCAGTCAGCCAAGTGTCAGATTTCAATTAGCTTGATTTCGTTTTTAAGCCTCCCATACTGAAGTCCGCCATATTGGGAAGTTTTAAATGAATACAAGTATTGTACTATTGTACTATTTATAGTAGATTAAATTTACAAGAAAGAAAATCCAATGATTCTCAAAATTATAGCAAAAAATTGGAAATTTTAAAAGTGAAATAACTCGGTTGTTTTGGATTTATTTGAAAAAACGGTAAAGAGAAAATATTATGCATCTTTTATCGAGATTTACCAGCCCTGAAAATATTTGCACTTATTTAAGACTCACCCTGTATAGAAATCAGGGAACTACCCTAATATTTGAATAAGAAGACTAAGGAAGGAGCATATCAAAAATCTTAGGTCCATCGCGATGGGCCTCAAATATGGCCGACTTAAATTCCGGTTTATCAGTGCCGTTCTAATTTTATTTAAAAAATGTAAAACTATGATGTAGGGTAGACGTGGGGTAGACTCAATAATATGTTGTTTTATTTTACGTGGTGAATAAATATTGGTAGTTATTAAAATTGTTACAATAATATATAATTCTAATAAAAATAGATAAGTCAGTGCCTTCTATTAAAAGATCAGCCTACGGGCGAGATATATGACGTCACGCTAGTTAGATATAACGGATTAATAAATATGTTGTAGAATACATGGAAAACAGAATTATTCCTCAGATTTTTGGTTTGTATTTTAAAAATGATATAGTTTACATGAAATATACATAATATACAGTTAATAACTACAACATATATACCTATTTATAGTAATAAATACTTTGGCAAATAAACTATGAACCATACAAATGCAGCAAATGTTTTACAATGTACAAATAATGTATAGGTACATAAGATAACGGGTAAAATGTAAATATATTTTAAATTTTGGGGTTTGAAAATCGATCTAATTTAACAAAAAACATTCAATATCTACTAATAGTGATGTATTATTATTTGCATTCACAAAATTTATATGTATATTTTGCAAGTATCAGTGTTCGAGAAATTATATTTATAAATAATACAATATTATCTAAAAAAAGGCGTCAGCGATGGCTATGAAATGAAGATCGCTGGCATTTTATATGTAAAATTATTCTAAAATTTTTGATTTTCTTGGGATTTTTAGGTTCGGGAAAAACGCTGATTTAAGTTTTCATTTGGGTTTTCATTATTTTTATTTGGTTTAAAAAAACGTTTCGGCTAACTATAGCCTTCATGAGGGTTGTGTCATATGAGAAAAATAGTGTCGAATATAATCCAAAAAATTACAGATACAATATAATTCACACCTTATAATGTTTACTGCAAATAATAAACTAATATAAACTTATCAAAAGATGACCACATATTTTTTAAAATTATTATTCTTAACACTAAAATTATCTACATTGACTATGGAGTACGCAGTAAACATTATGTGCGTGGTGTGAATATTTTATATGTAATTTTTTGGATTATATTCGACACTATTTTTTTCATATGACACAGCACTGATGAAGGCTATAATGTTAGCCGAAACGTTTTTCTTAAACCAAATAAAAATAATGAAAAACGAAATGAAAACTTAATCAGCGTTTTTCCCGAACCTAAATTCCAAGAAAATCAAAAAATTTAGAATATTTAGAAACAAGGTTCAAGAATATCAAATTTTCCAAGATTGTAAAATTCTAGTTAATTATTTTATATGTACAGTTATTTAGGGAATGTCATCGATGTTCATTTCCAAGCCAACTAGACGCCGATTTTTTTCGGTGATACGGTATAATTCTTACGTAAAATGTAAATAACATTAGACCAATTAAAACAAAGAAATATGAATTTCTTTGTATTTTTAGTAACACCTTTATTCTTAAAACTTAATTTTGTATTATGCAAATATACCAATTTTATTGTTATTTTATTCATATTCTATTCAGCCATCACTTAAATATTTGATATTAATTTGGTATTATAAATAATCAACACCTTTCATTAAAAATTACTGAACAAATATATGTTATGCTTGACATACATTATATATTATCAAACAAAAACACATTCTTCTTTTAAACTGTATCTGTCTTGTCTTTACAAAAATCTTTTTTAAAATGAACTCAAAGTAATAATCTTTTTCATGATCTTTAATACACATATTCTTTATTTTTCCCTAGATCATAATACCTACTTACGTGTTTGAATCTATCGAAGCTGAACCAACAACACTTGGAGTGGAGATTCCACAATATGAATAAAATAAACAT